ATATATTGTTCAGATGCAACATTTCCAACGAGTCATGTATCAGATACATGTCGTTCTCCTCGACGACTATTCAGAAGATTATTCACCTGAGAAGCAGATGAGCTTAGAATTAAACCACAGGACTTCTTACTTTATGTTAAATGTTAGGTCTCAGTCATTAATTACACAAGGGAAGTCTAAGTCAATAAACACTGTTTTCAAACATATTGTCTATTCTGTCCCGTTACAAGTATTGTCCTTTCTATATAAATTTTATCTACATCTGAGACATGAGACGTGATCTGCGTAATCAATCATACTCTTTTTTCTAAATCATACTATCATATATAGCCTCCAAAAACAGTAGATATCCCTCGGACGACTCCGTTCTAGCATTTACTTATCTGTTTCTCTCCCTATATACAAAGGCTCTGAATTCTCGAGTGTCATGAGATATTAAAGGTCGACACAGACGTCGTCACGTCGGTCAGACGGTCGTCATTCGACTAACTTCTCTCGCGCAAGTTGAATTCGGACTATCGGTGCCGGAAGGTGGAACTTCACTTCAGAAGTCGTATTTACAATTCAACATTTGCCCATTAAATACCATCATTTGTAAAAATACCGCTATTTTTCACCCCCTCTCTTGTAATAATGAGACATGGGGATCTGTTTTCACACAAAAAAAATATTTTCAAAATCACAAAAGACAATACAACTCCAGAGCGATTTTTGCCCTACAACGTGTATTTATGTGTACATATATCACAATGTATAGAATGGTTCAATTTAGAAGGCTATGTATAAATATATATATGTCTGCTGTTTGTCATAGTTACACAATATAACGGAGCGGTGTAGTAATAGGGTCGCGCTACATACAGCGCAATGGTACGTAAGGATAAAGAACAATGGGTTTCAGAAGACCCTTGGAAGGCTGTGGTCTTAGCCGAGGACTTCGAACCCGGACTGGCTCCTGTTACTACTCAGATCCAGAAATCTTTGGTTCCCGTTGCGAATATTCCTCTGTTGGAATATGTGCTGGAATGCCTCTCAGCAGCGGGCGTTGTCGAGGTATACAAGTTAAACGTTTAATTATTATGGTTTCAAGTTGCCTATAAGTGATGATTTTAATATATATATTTTGTAGAGTGTGCGAGCGCATTTGTCCTTAGAGCTGAGTTGTAGCAGATATTACATGCATATATATAT